GGGGTCAAAATACAATTTTCGAAAAATTATAGGCCGAAATTATAATTTTTCAAAAATTGAGGGACCAAACTGCAATTTTTCAAAATTTAAAAACTGACCGGTGACGTGGCAGATGACGTGGCAGTGACGTGGCGGTGACTGGGCGATGACGTGGCAGCTGACTGGGCGCTGGTGAAAGTTGGCAGTTGACTAGTGACGTGGCGGCTGACTGTGCTGGGACTGCACATGTGGCGCTGAGGTGTCGCTGACGCAGCTCTGGCTGGCTGATGACGTCAGCGATGACGTCAGCTGTCTTCAACCTCTGTCTGCGCGTGATGACGTCAGCATGACGCAGGCAGTTTATGGCCGGCGTTTGGCGGCGCGTACGGCAGCTTCCGGTGGCCAAAAAAATCCCCAAAAATACCAGTTTTCTCGTCTCGACGAGACGAATCCAACGGTATATTCAGATTGCAATTCTGAGCAATACTGAAAAACTCGATTTTTCAGACAGTAGAATTTTATCTGAAAAAATCTGGGAAAAATATCAAAAGCTCAACCAGGCTCTGATACCACTTGTTGGGAATAACAGGATCGTGCTAAATTGAGAGAAAAACACTTCTATTACTTTCAAGAATAGAAAGAAGAGACATACAAGCTCTAACTAAAAACTCTCAAAACACCTCACATATCTCTCAAGGATATTCACAACTCAAACTTGGTTGTGGTATTCTAATCTATGATCTAAACTGCTTGATGATAGAAAGACTCTCCAAGCTCTCTATTTATAGCGCCAAAACTAGGTACTATGAAGGTGGAAGGAAGCTTCAATGGTGGTTGGAAGGAAGGTCACTCCTAGGTGTATGGAAGCTCCATTTGTCATTCTTGCATATGGAGGAAGCTTCATGGTTGTTGCTTGCACATGGAGGAAGCTTCATGGTTGTTGCAATTGAATTCTTCAATGACTCCTATTTTGGGTATAGTATTATGATAATCGTATTTATGAATTTAGTTCTATTTTCTCTATTTTGATAACCTTTGAAATCTTGAAAATAGGGTTTCTTTCTCGACAAAAGCACCGGAAAAAAATGTTTCATAGTTGCACCCTCAAAACTTGTTTTCACCGTGAAGAAATTGGCTAAACATAAGTTTTGTATAAATGTTTTGGATTGCTAAGAGTTTTGTATAAATTGACTAAATACATTACAATGGTCGATCTAGATTCTAGACACGCAGTTCAATAGGAAATGATCGATTAGTTTAAGTTGCAACTACAATGCAGAGTTGATAAATGATAATGGCAAATGAAATAAGAATATTGTTTTTTTTTGTGTTTGTAATAATGTATTAACAGCTGATGAGACATTTAGACCAGGCTAATTTGCCTTCTACTAAAAACTAGTAATGGATTGTTTTTCATCTATCTCAATTAAAAAGCTGGGGGAATATTTGGTAATATATGTGAGAGGTTTTTATATATGACCAAAACATTTACAGATTTCTGAGATATGATTACCAAACCTACATAAACATGGTTTAATAATATATCATCAAATTATGTGGATCAGGAGCATATAATGAGGACTACATATCAATGAAAATATATGGGATAGTTCCTGAGCAAATGTTTAAATTAAAACTGTTGACATCTCAAAGGATTCAACAGTGGTTCCACTTCCCCCCTTGGCTACACTAAATGCACTTACTTTTTTACTCTCCTATCTTGCTGATACTTCTTGTTTTAAAGACACTGTAATACCCTTCTTGCCTGGCTGCAAACTTAAACAAAGAAGTTACTATTGTCCAAACAAAACCTTTTGCCTACGGACGAAAAAGAAAAAAATGAGACATTTATAGTGGGACGAATGGAGTAAAATTTGTTCAATTGATTTAGTTTTTAGTTTTTTTGGCAAAGATTTCTAAAATATTATAGTATATGTTTTACGTTAAGACCAACATCTTTGCATTGAGATGAGATTCAAACTCGTGGCCTCGTCGTTAGGAGTATCACAATGATGTTATTGTTATCAGACCACAATATGTTTGGCCTAGTTAAAAACCGAAACAAAACAAATTATTCTATTTGAATTTTGAATCGGACTACTTCCAATAAACTCAAATAAAGCCAAAATACTACCTCCGTTCTCTTTTAAATGCATCATTGAATTTTTGCACTATTCACATGCTCTACTTTGACTCTATTTTTTTACTCTATTTTATTTATTAATGTATTAAATTAAATTTAACAAAATATTGTAAAATTCCGCTCATTTAAAAAAATCAAAATCGTTTTAGATTATTTTTTAAAAATTTTTTTACTAATAAGGAATGAAATAATAGTATATTAATGGTCAAACTTGTGCATTAGAAAACGTGAAAAGTGGACCATTGTAATTAAAAAAAGAGGAAATTTGACTTTGCACCCCACTTTTTGGGTAATATTGAATTTTGCACCACATTTCGAAAAAACTTTGATTTTGCACCCCATCACATAACATTTGGTGAAAAAAACTTTTATGAATGAGGTGCAAAGTTAAAGGGGTTTTAAATGGAATTGAGTACAAAGTCAACGTTTTTTAAAAATGGGATGCAAAGCCCAATATCATTCAAAAAAGTGGGATGCATAATCAAATTTGACCTGAAATAAAAAGGGGAAAGTATAAACGATAATGTAAGGTAGGGCTGCACAAGAATAACTCGAACCCGCATAACCCGCCCGACCTAACCCTACCCGACCCTATTTAATCGGGTATTTGATTTTTAAAAATATTCATGGGTTTAATATGTTTGAACCCACACCTAATGAGTAGGGTTGCAGAATTAAAATCTCAAACCCGATAGTACCCGACCCGGCCGAAGTTCATTTTACTATTATTATGCTATAACGTTTTCTTGGATAATTTCAATTTAAGACCAATGTGCTCTATCTAGGACTTTATGATATTAGAATTATAATTAAACATTTATCATTTTGACTAGGTGATTATTATATATTTACGTTTCCTTCTAAATGAACTTCCTTTACGGAAGGATGGTTTAATGTTATTACCTAATGTTTTTGCTTATAAAAGATACGAGTACTTGTATTTGTTTGTGTGTTTTGGAAACAAGTTAATCGAGTTTTAAATTGGTTACGTTAACTTCCTACATGAAAGATGCAACCCAAAGTGATTTTTTCCCCAATACCTGACCCTACCCGACCCGTTCATGCATGGTTTACCAACTTATTTTGCGTACCGCGGGTTGTTTAATAGCCAACCCGAACAAATCGGGTAGGCCCAAAAAACATGGGAGCATCTCGGCGCACCTTTGTTTTTGCTAAGCGCACCCTATTTACAACGCCATTGGACAATTATGTCCTGATGTGTTTCGAAGGTTTTAACATTTAGAGTCCGTTTGGAGAACTCTGTTTTCGGCTTATCAGGCTTATCAGCCAGCTTTTTCACCAAACACGTAACTTTTACTTTCGCGCGCTGAATTGTGTAATAAGCCGAAAAAGTAAGGTTGGAGTTACTTTTCTGGCTGTATTGGCTGAAGTTACTGTAGAGGACCATTTTAGCTATTTTTACATATAATTTTTTTTTAATTTATTAATAAAATATATTTTTAAGATATTTTTTTCTTAAATCAGCAGAATCAGCCAAAACAGCCACTCCAGCCAGAATATCATAAATTTCAGCAGAATCAGCCAAAACAGCCGATTTTGGTGCTACCAAACGGGCTCTTAATCTCTGTCAAAGTGCTATTACTGTGAGCAAGTCTTTTCGTATTCCTTCTTGGTCAAAAAAGTTTATTCCTTCTTTAATACTCTAGAAAATATTTTATTTGTTTATAATTAGATATTTTTTAAAATAATACTAATTTAAAAATAGTACCAAAAATAAGATTTATAGTTACTATAATATATCCCAAATTTGTTTATACTAAAGAAAATACCCTAAATAGGACTAAAAACGTTTGAAAAATTCCAAAATAGGACTGCCATGTTTTTATTCCCAAAATAGGACTAATTACTGCCATGTTTTGACAGTACCAGGCTTTAAAGATGACAGTATTTTCCAAACTTGGTAGTAATTACTCCTATTTTGAAAATAAAAACATGACAGTCTTATTTTGGAATTTTCAAACGTTTTTAGCCCTAATAATTGTTGATACAATTAGAGGGTGTTTATCTTTTGTTTATATTTTAGAATTTTTATTCATACATGTACACACACATGTATGTATGTATATATAATTATGTCTCATAATAATTTACAACCCATTTAAAAAATTAAAAATTGGGAAGTGAGTACACAATTATTTAAAAAAATGTTGTAACTCTTTATTTAAAAATGGTCATCTAGAATAACTTAAGGGTTTTTTACAACAATATTACTAAAATAAAACTTATTTACATAAATATGACTACTCATTACTACAACGTAGTGTTGTAGTAACTTAAGTTCGAAACTTGAACATGAATTACTATGTTTTCATTACTACTATAGTAACTAATCATATTTTTGTAAACCATCTTTATTTTGGTCATATTAATGTAATTATTTCATAACTTAAATCAAATTAGTTAGAAAGTAACTATAACATTTCTTATATTGACTATTATAGAATTTGGTCTGTGAAATCCAAATTTAGTCAATATAGGTAGAAAAGTAGTTTTAACACTGCTTATTTATCGTTAGTATAAATCAGTTATACAGTAAATTCCAAAATGTAAAAAGTAGTTATAACTCGAACTTTTTTTTTAGTTTCGAAAGATATTAATAAATTTAAATAGTTTCATTGTGATCAATAAATTTTGAATGACGTAAATAACTGCAAATAGAATACATTTATTTAAAATTTATTTAACAAAAAGAACTTTAAAAAAGAATGTAATTTTAAAAAAAAACGTGCCGCTGCATCCAGTAAAGGAGGTTTCATTTTGGACTTTGAACGTATAACTTTAAGGAGAATAAGGTTAAAACTGTCGACCTAGGTTACTTTAAGCAACTTTGGAGGTGCGCAAAGCAACCCAAAAATATTGTAAACCTTACCCAACCCGTCAGATGTGCCGCCCTAATGTCTGGTTACTCTCATTAGTAGTCATGGAGCTGAAGACAATTGTTTTTGGCTATGTAAACTTGAGCTGAAGTTGAATCCTCCAATTTCTTAGTCTATCAAGCTGCGAAGGAAACCAGGTTGGGAGATGAATCATTAACGACTTTACAGAGGAGCTCCGAGTCAGATTCCTGTGAAATTCCCGGAAACCAGGTCGGTGACACATCTTTTATTGCGGCAGCCGAAGATTTGCCCCTCCCGGCTCCCGCTGCCTGTCCATCAGAAAAAACTGCATCCGCATTGATTCCGGTAAGATTCCTACTTGAATATGTGTTCCATTGAAACGGATATATTTGGCCCCTTTATTGCTGAGACACCATTTCCGAAATCCGACAATATTATCGTTTACTTTGACAAATTAGAAGCTCTTAAATGCCTGATTATCCCAAATAACCCCATTCGTGCCTTTCCAAACAAACCATAGAATCATGCCCGATTGTAGTAGGCCTAAATAGCCCTCATTATTAGGAGAATTAGACGTCAATGACCAAAGGAATAACATCTGATTCATATCTGCAGGCTGATTAATGATATCAATATGCGTAAGTGCATAACCCCCATGATATAGGACCTGAAATTATCTGAACAGCTTGCTGCTGCTGAGATTGAACCTCAACATTCTGATGTTCCTCTTCCACAATTGCAATCACAGGGGAATAGCTTATTCTACTACTCCATTTCACACTAAGGAACCAACACCCCTGACCCATCAACAATGAAGAAGCTGAAGGGTTCAGACCTCTCAACAATCTGCACATAACTCTACTGAACGTGAAGGGGAAGTGCAGAAAACAGAAGGCATGGCTCAAAACCTCAAAATAAGACTGCAGCAACTTGAAATAGACTACATTAGAGTTAGAAGATGGAGAGCTTGGAAGCTAGCTCCAATTGCAAATCAGATCTCCACCATCTCTGGAATGGCAACAGAAGAAGCCTTCTCAATTAATTGGTTAGGTACTTCTGATATCTCTCTCTGTGTGACCTTAGATAAGATCTCTCAAGTTTACATAGCCAAAAACAATTGTCTACAAGGAGAGGAGAAGGCACCAGCAGACTTCTCTTGCTCTAGTGATGAGGATGACGATGATCATCATCACGGTGATTACAAAGGCAAAAGGAAGATGATCATAGTATCTGATGACGAAGATGATGAGGAAGCCGTAAATTTCAGAAAAGCAATTAAAATCTCTAAGCTTGATCTTTTCAGAGGAGCAAGAGGTACCTCCAATCAACTGCAGCAAGAAGAGGCATCTACGGCCATGCAACATCAAAATGAAGACTATTCTGTCACTATACAACTAGATGATCAGGCAGCAGAATCAGAGGAAAAAGTAGGAGGGTCACAAGCAACCAGTCCAATTCTAGATGAGCATCCAGCTTGTCTCCAGCCCTGTGCATTGAAAGAGGAGCTTCTTCAAGAAATAAGAGCGTCTGAAAAGAGAATGCTCACACACGCAGCTGCCCAACAAGAAGCTAGTCAAAAGGCTCTACTGGGAAAGCTTATAAATATTGATCAGCTTCTACAACAAGTAAAATCTCAACAGGAGGCATTTGCAACGACCCAAAAGCTACAAGAGGAGCACTTACTTCAACTTCAACAGATTCATAAAGAGAAGATGCTTCCCGAATTTAAAACCATAGATGCTGCGATTATAAAGGGGATGATTTGGCTTGCTGGGCAATTCTATGATGCCCATCAAGGACGTCAAATGCCAGCAAAGCTTTCTAGGGAATACCAACAGCACCTTGATGCAGGCAACATCACTAACATGAACAACCGGTTAGCAGAGCTCAATGAAGCAAGAAGAAGAGCTAGAGAGGCTAAGATGTCTCAGCAGCAGCCTCCTGCAGCACATCAGCCCACTCCACAAATGCCTCCAGCTCATGAGCCCCAGCCAGAACCTCAAAATCAGCTATCCACTCAGGTATTTCCTATCAAAATAATAATCAGGCTTAACCAGAATGGTAGCCCTGACTGAGATATACGTTATTAGAGTTCTATGCTAGTAGTACTTCTACTCTATTATTACCCTCTCCCGTTTGGGTTACTAAAACTGACCTTGAGCAGGCTCTATCCCAACTTCAAGATGCATATACCAAACTGGAGAGACAACTAAAAGAGGATACTCTGCGGCTTTCCCATGGTCTCCTATTGATGAAGCAAACACAGGATGAAGACACAGAAAAGCTTCACAAGACACACCAGGGCATGCAAAATGTGATAGAGCTTCTATATGCCAGCTCTAAAGATGCCTTCACTCAACAAACTAATGCAATCACCGACCTAGCCAAAACAGTTGACAAAACCTCCATCAAGCTCAGCTCCAAAGAGGAAGACATCATCAGCCTCAGAAATGAGTTAACTGAGCTCCAGAACAGGGTTGCAATTATTGCAACAGAAGTCACTCCCAATGATGCCAAAAAGAGGGAAGCATACAAAAAGGAGCACGGTTAAGACAACAAGGACTATAGCAATCAATTTTTGGCTTTTACTTATATACTTTATTAACAAGTTACCTATTGAATATATCTTTTTCTGTTAAAAGGCCAACTGATGTGGCTGTAGTACACTCGATGGACGGCCCCAAGTTTTGACATTTTCGAGAGAATATCTAGTCAAAAGTCATATGAAGAAACACACTACTCATCCTATTTAGTGTACAAATTATCACTGAAGCATGGCTAGTTCAACGCTAACTCATTCAGGGGAGTGTCTAGATTTATTGACAATGAGGGTAGAGATGTGGCTGAAAGTAGAGCTTCACACATTTTTTTTTCATGAAGGCGGTGACAGCGTTTGGCCTTGGTGTTTCTATATATATTGGATGGATGGAGGTGGTCAGGTGGAAATTGTAACCTTTTCAACATTGGAGGGAATCACGGGTTTAGTATTATTCTTCAATTCAGCCTATTCCTCATAGTGTGAGGGCTTGAATTTCGACCTGAAACTAGTTTTGGTGGTATGATCAATTGGGGATTTCCTGAAGAACTCTTGGAAGAAAAAGTGAACTTCTAGCTAGAGAAGTGAGAACAATGTCTATAGCTAGTGATGTGAAGTGTATATTCATGACGGGGTGTATCAACTATTCAACTATCAGGACATGTTGCTATTGCATTCTAGTAATTGATGGGAAATTGTATGCCATATTGTGTAACTTCATTTTGCTCATTATTTTAGTGTAACGATAGAGTAATTTTATGAAACAATTACATACTACGTATATATGACTACAATGAAGGTGGGAGCCTTTGCGACACTGGGATAATGATGATGATATGACTACAATGAGGATTGTTTACAAAAATGTGACTAATTATTACTTATTAGAGTAGTAATAGCATCATGGTAACTTATTTTCAATTTTTAAACTTAAGTTACCATGACACTACATTGTAGTAACTATTAGTCATATTTGTATAAATAAGTTTTATTTTAGTAATATTTTAAAAAAAAAAACTCACTTTTTAGTTTGTTTGACATACTTACTAAGTTACTATACGAGGTGTTTATATCCACACACAAAAACGAATCTTAAAAATACCACTTTGCCTCTTCTAAAATTACTTTAATCATTATTCTAAGACAAATTCATATATCTTTAGTTAATATATAAAAAATTGTGTGTTACTTAAATTATTATTACATGAAGAAATGAGTAGTTATGTTTTTGGACGAAAATATGACTAGTCACTACGTAGTACATACGAGTAATTGGAAAAAAGTAATAAGTCACTCGTAAATCATGAGTCACTGGGAAGTAGTCACTGAATATGTCATTGTTTTGGAAAATTAAAAAAAACATATTTAAGTCTTGTGAATTTAATTTCGTAATTTTCATAGAAAAGGGCCTTATTATATTCGAATTCAATGTTTTGCTATTGAATCTCTACTTTAAGGACTTATTGAAATGTTTTTACTTGGATTGTTTTCAGTCCCAGATCAGACTTGGATAGTTATAAAATACTTAGAGACCAAACTAGAAAATTTCAATCCAAGCAAAGACATCCTTACATGCACGTCTATTTCATCGTATGATATTTTACATTTACTTCTTACCGTTTATTTCATGAAATAGTTCCAAATATATGACTATAATAAAAGTAGTGGACAAAAATGTGACCCAACTGATAACTTTAGTGACTATAATTTTATTCAAATGTTACATGATAGTGACTAAAAAATTTACACAGAGTAACTTATAGTCACATTTTTGTCCATAGGTTTTTTAGTAATATTTTAGGAAAAATCTCTTATTTCATACTTTGCTATTAACCTAATATAATGACATCTTATTTCATAATTTATATAATGTTTGCGAATAATTCAAACACAATCGAGTTTTTTTCTTAATTTTTTATTATATAATTGTATCTAAATTATTATGCGGGTGTTTCACTCCCGTGCAACACACGGGTGTAGTAACTAGTTCGCATAATAGGAGTAAAACATAGGAAGAAGGCAAAATAGAAATAGATATTTAAAATTCCCAAAATATGAGTTTTTATTAGACAAGAATACCTTGTCACGGTTTTAGGCTTGACACTGCCACTGGGTCACCGACTTAGCCATTGGAGCGCCGTCGCCACAAACATGAAAGATTTCCGCCGTCGTTACCATTGGATTGCCCACGACCAACTGACTTACCTCTGTCTAGCCTAAAACTGGGGTTTACAAGGTGTTTAAATCGAAAACCGTGAAAAAGGATCGAAATTGGGCTTTTTAGGGTGAATCTGGTCGTTCTCAGTGGCCCGCAGCCCGTGAGAACGCCGCCCGTAGGGCGAAGGATCTCCATCAACACACCCTCGCACGGCGTGCGTGGGTTGTGCGTATGTACGGCGTGGAAACCTTCCAATGAGTTCCAAGCCTTTGCGCACGACGTTGGAGCACTTGGAGCGCGCTCCAGGCAGGTGGAGCGCGCTACAGGCAGGTGGAACGCGCTCCAGGAAGGTAGAGCGCGCTACAGGCAGGTGGAGCGCGCTCCAGGCAGGTGGAGCGCGCTCCAGGCAGTTGGAGCGCGCTCCAGGCAGTTGGAGCGCGCTTCAGGCAGTTGCGCTCCAGGCAGTTGGAGCGCGCTCCAGGAATTTGGAGTGCGCTCCTGGCTGTTGCGTGACAGGCAGTTAGAGCATGCTCCAGGTAGTTGGAGCGCGCTCCAGTAAGTTGGAGCGCGGTCTAGGCGGGTGGAGCGCGCTCCACACAGTTGCGCTCCAGGCATTTGCGCTCGAGGCAGTTGGAGCGCGCTCCGTGCAGTTGGAGCGCTCCAGGAAGTTGGAGCGCGCTCGAGGAAGTTGGAGAGCGCTCCAGGCAATTGGAGTGTGCTCGAGGAAGTTGGAGCGCGCTCCACCGAGTTGGAGCGCGGTCTGGGCAGGTGGAGCGCGCTCTGGGCAGGCGGAGCGCGCTCGGGGCAGGCGGAGTGCGCTTCAGGTAGGCGGAGCGCGCTCCAGGGAGTTGGGGCGCGCTCCAGGGAGTTGGGGCGCGCTCTAGGCAGGTGGGGCGCGCTCCAGGCAGGTGGGGCGCTCTCCAGAGAGTTGGAGCGCGCTCCAGGCAGTTGGAGCGCTCCAGGAAGTTGGAGCGCGCTCGAGGAAGCTCGAGGAAGTTAAAGAGCGCTCCAGACAATTGGAGCGTGCTCGAGGAAGTTGGAGCGCGCTCCACCGAGTTGGAGCGCGGTCTGGGCAGGTGGAGCGCGCTCTGGGCAGGCGGAGCGCGCTCGGGGCAGGCGGAGTGCGCTTCGGGTAGGCGGAGCGCGCTCCAGGGAGTTGGGGCGCGCTCCAGGGAGTTGGGGCGCGCTCTAGGCAGGTGGAGCGCACTCCAGGTAGTTGGTGCGTCTGGAGCGCACTCCAGGCAGCTGCGCTCGAGACAGTTGGAGCGCGCTCCAAGGAGTTGAAGCGCGCTCTAGGCAGTTGGAGCGCGCTCTAGGGAACTGGAGCGCGCTCCAGACAGTCAGAGCGCGCTCCAGGCAGTCGGAGCGCGCTCCAGGCAGTTGGAACGTGCTCTGGGAAGTAGGAGCGCGCTCTAGTAAATTGGAGCGCACTCCTTATCTCTAACAATTTCATTAAACAAATAAAAAAAGAAAAGAGTATTAGTCCACAATAAATCACGTGTGTTAGATGGGTTATGCAACACACGTATGAATTTTAATTAAAATTCAATCAAATCTATTTGTTGCTACACAAAACTGCAAGGTTACTCTACTTCTCATAAATTATTTTTAGTCTATTTCCAAACATGTCACCCATTCATAGGCCTAAGCAAACATAAAAAATTAAAAGGGAAAAACTTAAGTGTTTAAGCATTGCCATACAAATTTAGTGAATTTTCTTTTCATTTAAATACAATTTTACCAAGATTTACAATTTTATATACAATTCAATTTGTGCAAATGAATTTCGAAATATTGTATTTTCTACTTGTGTCATAACATATATATCTGAACGTGCTCCTTATAAATTATGTTAATATTATTCATTGCAAATTAAAACACATTCAATAGCTTTTAGTATAATTAATTGTAATTTGATTAAGTTCATGTCGTATTGTTATTTTTGAAGTTTTCACTATGAAAAGTCAATAAACAAATGGACCAAATAATACAAGATTCAGGTGCTTCAAAGAGAAAAACTTAGGATATTTTTACTTGGACCATAATTTGCTAGTCTGATCTGACCTGGTCTGGTCTGAACTGGTCTGATAATGTCTGGTATCTTTGTATTTTTATAACTGTTTAAGTATGGTCTGATCTGGTCTGAACTGGCCTGGTCTGGTCTGGGACTGCAAACAATCCAAGTAAAAACATTCTTAATAAACAAACAAACATGTTTCCATATAGGGGCGGAGCCAGGACACTGGGCCAGACTGGACCGGTACAAAGAATATTTTTGAAAAAAAAAATTACACGCAATTTTTTACACTAAAATTAAAGACATTTTTAAAATTTGGGCTGGGCCAGGTCTGGCCCACCCCTAGCTACGCCACTGTTTCCATATTACTCCACGTCATTTTAATGATTGTCTTTGAATTGGAGTGTCTTATTACATTTTTTCTTTTAATTCTCATTAAATTTAATTACTCTATATATTTAGTTTTAGTTTTTTTGTCTTGGGTACCAAATTTTCTAAAGACGGCCCTGATTAATAATCACACCTATTGACGAACTGCTTATATTAATCTCAATTATTTGTAATTCTAAAATGATCTAAACTATATGGGGCAGCTTCTTAAAATAAAGCCGTGACCTGAATAAACAAGTTCAGCAGGTTGCCCAACCACATAACTTAATATAATTGGGCTTCACATATTTTAATTTTCATTTATTTCTTTTCTTTTCCTTTTTCTTTTCCTTTTTCTTTTCTCCTCTCTTTCTCTTTGGTTGCTCTGTCTTGTTTTTCGTTCCTCGCAGTCACCTCTGCTCCGTCTCATCTCCTTCCTTTTCATCTACTTTTTCTTCTTCTTTGGCCTTAAGCAGGGAACTCTCACGAGCGGTTCTTAAGGGAAATCTAGTACTCTAGTAAGAGCCACCCATTCCAATAGCGTGTATTTGGAGCTCAATATGAAATCATGTTTTCTTGCAAGACCCATTCGGATAAGGTAACCCTTCAAAATAGATTTGAAATAAAATACTTGCTTTGGACCTTTCTTGAACTGGAGAGGATGAAAGGAAAAGGGGATAAAATGCCCAATTAAGTGACAGGAGGCAAGAATAGAAAGAAACCTTCATCCCCCCTTTTTCATACTCATATTTAAGAAAAATTAAACCTTGATGATACAGAATGAAAGTTTTGAACCTAGACAGTAGACACCATGATATGGCTCCTTCATCCTTATCCTCCCCGTGATCTTGTTTTTTTTTTGGAAAGTTTGTTCAATTTTATTCTGTCCAAACAGAATATTTTGTTCAAGTTAGTCAGTTAGGTAACAGGCTCAAGATAAGGAGAATTGGAGAAAGGAGAAAAAGAGGCTTGAGAATGGGAGGCGACAAGAGGGAGATGGCTGAAGTTCCCCCCAGGCGTACATAAGTGTGTTTACCTTTTAAGCTACAATGTGCACGGTGTGTAGCAATGTAGCATGAGAGACAACCACACGAATATTAACAAATAAAATATATCTCTCCTTATTTGAGTGATTTTATAAAATTTTGGTAACTTTTTCTCCGCAACATGTGAAGAAGATCGTCTAGATTTTGACATTATGCATGGTTGACATTGTAGAGATCGAAAAACTTACCAAAATTGTACAAAAATATTCAAATAAGGAGAGAGATAATTTATTTGCTAATATTTTAGTGGCTATCTCTCATGTCACATGTGCACCATACACATTGTAACATTGTATATGCTCTAATAATCAAATTACATATTTGCATCCCCATCCACTTAACGATATTAGAGATAAAAAATAAAGTGTATTTAGGTAATTATCTCATATAGCTCCCTAATTTGCTAATTAGGTAGTTATCCATTTATCTTGGGAAAACTATCAAATAAGCCCCCGTACTATATCGAAAAAGTCAATTAGGCCCTCGTACTTTACAAACACTCAATTAAGTCCTCGAACTAGTAAAAAACGTTCAATTAAGCCCTTTCGGTCAGTAAATAACCGGTTTTCCGGTTAAATGTAACCTGTTTCTCGGCAGCCGCCGTTGCTGGGGTTCGAGCACATCGTCGCCGTCATCGCCGTTTAACCGGGAAACCGGTTACTTACCGACCAAAAGGGCTTAATTGAACGTTTTTTACTAGTTCGAGGACTTAATTGAGTGTTTGTAAAGTACGAGGGCCTAATTGCCTTTTTCGGAATAGTACGGGGGCTTATTTGATAGTTTTCCCATTTATCTTCGGTCACCTATTCCCGATTGTTTAGTAGTAGAGTTCAAAACACGTGCAATCAGCTCTTTCCTTGGTGATCACGTACTTCCATATTTTCGTAATTACGTAATTAGACTGTTAGAGTATAGCTTGCCGCAGCACTATAAAATCTCATGTAATCGCTCGGCTCTCTCTGAGATTTTAGTGCAAATTAAAAGACGACCCATATGGACCTTTTCGCGAAGCTGCCGGAGGGATGCATCGCTGAAATCGTTTCCTTCACTTCGCCGGCCGATGCATCGGCGCTTTCGGTCATCTCCAAACGCTTCAAATCCGCTACTGAATCGGACACCGTTTGGAAGAAGTTTTTGCCGCCCGATATTGATGAAATCGTCTCAAAATCATCCATTCCCTATTATTTAGCACCTACCAAGAAGGATCTTTATGCTTTCCTTTCTCATTCTCACATTCTCTTGGATGGAGGCAAATTGGTACGTTCATCCTTAAATAGTTAATTAAACACCCTGTTTTTTTAATCTCTGTAGCGTATACTCCTTACATACGAATAAGTTAAATTGTTTTTTTTAATAGGCTTATGCATATGCTAATTTTAAATTACTATTGTGATTTTTTGTGAATCTGTTTCTTTTTCTCTGATGAGAAATTGGTCAATTTAGAACTAAAACATAGACAAAATTCAAAAATATGACCAAACATGTTTTATTCCTCAAATAGGATATATTATGTCATACTAAATTAATAAATTTATACTCCGTAAGTTGGATTAAAACTTCCCAAAATATGAGTGAATGACTCCTATTTTGGGTATATATAATATTATGATAATCATATTTATGAATTTAGTTCTATTTTCTCTATTCTGATAACCTTTGAAATCTTGAAAATAGGGTTTCTTTCTCGACAAAAGTTCCGGGAAAAAGTGTTTCATAGTTCCACCCTCAGAACTTGTTTTCCCCGCGAAGAATTATTCAGATATCCCGATTATGGTACAAGAGCTAAAATTCTCCAGGTTATTCACTGCACATGTTCTTTTCTTTAATAATGACGGGATATTCAACGTTTGTCTTCTACTTAATTATATGGTTTCTTTTAATAAGTCAAATATTAAATAAACCTTTTTTTGATTAAGGTCTATCGATGTGGCTGTACTGAACTCAATGGATGGTAGCATGTTTTACATTTTTGGGAGAATCAGCAGCGAAAAGCTATCTGAAGAAACACACTACTCATCCTATTTGGTGTGCAAACGATCACCGAAGCATAGCTACCTCAACACCTCATTCAGCGTAAGGTGTAGATTTGTTGACAATGAGGGTAGAGTTGTGGGTGTAAGTGAAGGTAAGGAGTTTCGAGTTCCCGTTTGTAGAGATGACGGGTGGTTGGAGGTGGAAATTGGGACTTTTTTTAACGCGGGAGGGAATCACAACAATGTCGAATCTTGTGTGTCAAGTCTTAGTCTCCGGTTAGGACAATCCCTCATTGTGCGAGGGATTGAATTTCGGCCGAGCTGAAACTACTTTTGGAGGTATGAGAGATTGTAGATTTTTTAAAGAATTCTTGGAATAAAAATAGAACCTCTAGTTAGAGAACAATATCTAGCTAGTGATGTGAAGCGAAAAAAAAGTAACTTTTCATCTTGATATACATATTGACTAGACTAGTTTGCCCATGAGTACATAAACATTCTAGCTTGACGGTTGGGTGTATTTGTTATCAATTTGCCCATGTGAATGGCCCTGCTAAGAATAATCGTAAAATTCAATACCTAATCTATTTATCCATGGTTGTGTAAAAAAAAATCTATTTATCCATGGTAAGGAAATCGAAATTCCTGAGTTTGAATGCATCTTTTACCCAGTCACTTCTCCAGGCCGAGTTTATGTGACTTGAGAATATAGTCACTCGATTTTTTTAAGCCATCAACACTTAATATAACATTAATCCGGCTTATGAATTTCAAATTTATTACACTTTTCTTTGAGTTACTTAGTAAGATACCATATAAAAAAAGGACATTATATATATTGAATTTGTGTTTAAATTAACTGATATATTTGCTACATGGTCAAATAATTTGAATACTTGATTTCTTTAATTTAGTAATAAAAACAATCACTGTTATTACATTTTTTGTATTAGCAATAGGCATTGACAAATATTTCTATATATCGGAGAAAGGGGGCTGAATTGATATTACTACGTATAATATGTGCTGCATTGTGCATAATACATCAATTAGAGAAAAGAATCTGAAGTACCATACATAATCGTTAAATAAGCAAAACAAAGCGGAAGAGTATTGTCACGGTTAGGAACCATTGGGCAATGGAGGCTGGCGCAGCAACCTTGTGAAGGCAGTTTGTAGCCGGGTTTCTAGGGATCGGGATTCTCTGCCTGGCTTTGGCAGCCAGGTAGGGTGCGTGGCTATTACAGCCACGCGATTCACTCTCCCTCTTCCAGCAGCTCTCTTCTTCTTTGTTGCTTGTTGTTGGATTGACGCAAGGCACCTCTGTCGCACGGCAAAGGATCCAAATCCGGTTCCTAGCCAGCCCTGCATTTGCAAGTCTAAGGGTATGTTTGGCCCAACTAGCTAAAAAGATACTTTTACGAGCTTTTTAGTAACGGTTAACATTTAGTTACTCAAAAATCTTAAAAAGAAAAGGTGACATATATCTGTTTAGTAAAAAGCTGACTTTTTTATTTAGTTCGGTTTGGTATACAAGCTATTAGAGCTAATTGATACTAAAAGTCATGAGTTTTTCTCAGATGCTACACCCGGTAGCATCTCAAAAAAGATCTTTTAATTTTTTAAAAACTCTTAAAAAATGTCATGCCAAACATATAACTAGAATCTTTTAAGGTCTTTTTAAATAATAGAGAAGCTAGCAGCTACAGCCTTTTGTGTGTCAAACACAGCCTAAATGGATGAGCTTAATAGGTATTCATTCATTTATTTATGCATCCCAATTCCCACCTACACATAGGGTATGTTTGGCACAACTAACTGAAAAGATACTTTTATGAACTTTTTAGTGACGGTTAGCTTTTAGTGACTGAAAAGATCTTAAAAGAAAAATGCAGTAGCTATTTGATAAAAAGCTGACTGTTTGGTTTAACTCCGTTTGGTATACAAGCTGTCGGGACTAATTAATGCTAGAAGCTATAGACTTATTTGAGATGCTACTCACTATAGCATCTCAAAAAAGATCTTTTATTTTTATAGAAGCTCTTAATAATTTGCATGCCAAACACCCAACTAAAAGCTTTTAAGAACTTTTTAAATAGTACAAAAGTTAGAAGACACTAACTTTTGCATGCCAAACATAGCCATAGTAGTGCAGATATCGTCTTTTAAATGATGAGTTATAGATAGATAAGAAAATATAGTTCTTTAATACCGTAGTATGAGTTTTCAGGGTAAATTTTATATGTACAAGAAATATATTTTTCCTAGAGTTTCATATAACTGTGCAGTTAAATAAGCAGTTATTTTCAAGAATTAATTTGAATGTGTTCTCAATTGAAGTTTTAGCTGAAATTTGGTATGAGTAGACTAGATTTGATGCTCAAAAATTTCCATCAAAAAATTCCACCGGGAACCACCCCAAATCGTGACGGCCAGACAGAGCCTCCTATAAAGGACTTATTTGACCTTTTTATAAAAGTTCGAGGACCTATTTGACAGTTTTCCCTTTTTCTTAATATTTATATGTGAAAAGTATAGAAAAAGTATCTGTAGTTTGGGCCGTTTTTAGATAGGGGCATGAATTTCATTTTTTAACGAAGTGTGACATGTGTTTCAATTTTGTTATCACAATTGGGGCATGACCTCTAATGCCGTTAGAAAAATTTAACCCTGATTTTCAAAAGTATTCAAAAAATTAAAGGAAAAATACTAGGAGGTTCGCCTCATCAAGAAGACCTCCAGACCATTTTTTTTTTGTTTCCAGCCACTCTGTCGCCAGATTGTCAACCGGAAAAGTGAACTCGTTTTTAAAAACAATCCAAATAGAGCCGAAAAAATCAAAGAGGACGATAGTTTTTTGGTCTCCTTGATGAGGCGCACTAACATGCACTTTGTCGTGTATGCACTCAAAATAATAATCAATACGACACTAATACGTAGTATAGTGTAGTAAGGTTCGTATCCACAGGGAAAGGAACACTTTTTCTTTTTATAAAACTAGAAATAAGTAACAAGGGGGGTTTTGATTGGTTGATGAACTTAAATTACATTTAAGCACGAAGATGAACGACTTATGTGGTTTAATTAATGAGAAAGAGACTTGGTTTTGCTTTTATCCACTTAATGAAATGTTCGTCGATCCCGGTTATATCTTTAACTATCTTCCTCTCGAATACTCAATCGAGGAGTATATCCAATTCATCGAGAGTAGTTATTAATAACGAGACGCGTTCATTAATAAAACTTACTACCGAGCCAATATAGAACACGCGCCGTATATTCACTCGATAGTAGCAATAAAATCAAGATGAAAACGATTGAGATTGATAACCTCAACACAAACGGTTTATCGGTTTAATCAATATAATTAATTCCCATTCGGTTATTAACCATGAGACGCATGCATTAACAACCCAAGTTTACTACCGTGAAAGGGCCGAATTAATACAAGCGTATTAATCGACCGATTCTAGTATTAATTAATATATGAAACAAAACTAGTTGATCCTTTAAGTAATGCCCAAAATATTAATATGAAATAGGAATATGAATTAATTAATATTCAAGGAAGAAGATTAAAGAAAATAACTCACAACTTACAATTCATTAAGCTTCAAAGTAGCAAAACCAAGATGGAAGAGTTTAGCTCCTCATTTGGAGACTAAACATGAATAAAATATAAAGAAATAACTTGTCTAAACTGAGCTTAGAAGTATATAGGAATTGGTGATTTTATTGGGAAGGAAAGGGGTGTATTTATAGGCTTTTGGGAGCTGCAAGATCTGATACCGGACTGGGTATATAGGATACCAGACCGGGTATCTTAGGAAATTGCCCAGAAAGTCAATTTTCTGGGCATACCCGATCGGGTAAGGGTATATACCCGATCGGGTATGTGACAATCTTTATGAAAATTTGCTCCCACGATCATTTGTCTTCGGATTTGATTTGGACAGTCGAATCAAGCAACTACCCGATCGGGTATAGGCAATACCCGACCGGGTACATGAGTATTTTTTCCAAATCGAAATCTTTCTTGCCTCCTTGCACTTTCCTTGATCTTTTAAGGTCCAATCTTGATCCCTTGGACGATCTTTGACCTGTTTAGCTCAGAAAAATCATAATCTAAATAAATTACAAATAAAAATGAAAATAAAGTATTACACCAAAAGTGTGTAATTTCCACAACTAGAACTAATAAAAACTACTTAAAAATACAAACATACAATCGGAAATTACATGAATATCAACTCCCCCACACTTAGCTTCTTAACGCGTCCTCGAATAAAGTCAAATGTTTAACAGTTCCAAGTCCTCAAGTGTTCAACAATCAACAAGAAAAAGCAAAAGACCACCAAGGGTAAAACATGAGTTTTACATTGAATGTTTAGCTCAACGAACAATATCTTCTTGGGTTTCATGGCCTTCTATGCTCATCTCTTTTCTTCTCCTCTTTTCATATTCAAGAGATTAAATGATGTCCTATAAAAACAAATATATCTCTCATATCTCTAATTTTGCCTAGGAGCCTTTTCAGATTTTCATCCTAGCATCTCTTTTTATTTTTCCATCCTTTCCACTCACTCATTTTTTATAAGCCCTTTTTGCTTAGATTGCCCGTTTTTGGGTTTTCAACCTAACTAGCATTTCTTTTCTTTTCTTTTTTCTTTTTTTCATTTTTTTTAATTTTTTTTTGAAGAAAATAATGCCAGTTACAAAGTATCAAACTTAGGTACGTACCAATGAGTAACTCCCCCTCACTTAGCTCGAAGCACTGTCCCTAGTGCTCATCTCCGTCATTACCGGGCAGAAACGGGCATCCTCATAGCCCGGAATTGGTCCCCTAACATTGGAACTCCCAGCCCTATCCCTCTTTGGTGCCATTGATAGCCTTTTTGGAGCTTGAAATTCGGACTTGGTGTTTTTGGGGTAGGGTTTCGGATTTTTGGGGAGGGAGAGAGATGGTGGAATTTGTGGGTATGATGTGGAGAGGAGAGTGAGAGGAGTGTTTTAATGGTGGTTTGAGGGAATTTGGTTGAGTGATGATGGAGATATGGAAGGAAGAAGGTCCAAAAATGGTGGGTTTGGGAGAGAGAAATCGGAAATTGGGGTTTGGGGAAGAAGTGGCTTGAATTGGGTCTGGTTTGGGGTAAAAAGCTCGAGTACCCGATCGGGTAGTCTCTTGTTTCCTCTTGTTCCGGGATTGGTCCCGATCGAGTTGGGTAGTACTCGATCGGGTAAAATGCGCCGTGGGAAAATTCATTATTCAAGATTGAATCACCCGATCGGGTGCCTTGAATACCCGATCGAGTCTTTGCCATTTTTTTTTCAAAATTGCTCCAGAGGGTTGTGCCCGATCGAGTTTTGTGGGTACTCGATCGGGTGAATCGCGCCGTGGCAAATGATTTTATTTTCATGAAACAGACCCGACCGGGTCATTGGTGTACCCGATCGGGGACGGACCTTGTTTCCAATGCAAGCGCGATCGGGTAGGGGGTTTTGTTCCCCATCCATGTCGTTTTCATCTGTACCCGATCGGGTAGAGTAGAG